AGACAAAGTCATTGTTTAAATTATCTGGGTCTTGTGGCTGAGGATTCAGCTTAGTGGTTCTGCCACCTACCTCAAAAGCGCAAGGTCCCGAGTTAGATTTCCGGTGCCAAAGAAAATAAAAAAATACTTATCTGGGTCTTATTTCTTCACCTATTCAAATAAATATAAAGCCTGGCATTAAAGTAAAATTAACATGTGGTGTTTGGGGATGTATAAGATTATTCACTTTGTGAGAAGAAAATATTAGAGAAATTTGCTTACAATTCTTAGCACTTTTTTGCATTGCTGGATTTTTAGTCAGATTTACCTTGTGGCTTATTATTTTACTGAGTCTTGTCATTTCTTGTGTCTGTGGGCTTGTGCTGACCACTCAGCACTTTTCTCTGAGGGCAACAACCTCATTTCCTTTTAGTAGCCCCACCTTGAGAAATTCATACTTCTATGAGACATCTTAAGTAATTATTATTGTTTCATAACTCTTATAGTTCTTACTATAGAATGACATTTTATGGTTTTGCTTCATTTATTTTTGTTTAATTTTTTATTTCATAGGCCAATATGTGTCCTGTCTTGTAAAGTTTAGGGAATCTGCTAAATATGTTTTTGTTTATAAACATGCCACTGATGCTATAATGTTTCTTATCATAATTTAAATTCTGTCCAGAAAAAAGGTTCTAAAAGTTTAGGACTTCTACTGAAAGATATATGTGATGGTTCAGAAAAGGCAGAGAACTAATTCATTAAATATGAGAAAAATTTGCTATCTTCTCTACAAAAATGACCTTACATTAGACTCAAAAGTAATTTCAGAACCTAGTGCTCACTTGTGGTTGAGGGTCCTGCTCAGCTGAGGGTAGTCCTTTGCACTGCTGTTAAGTACTGATTTAGGTAATAACAGGGCAAGACTTTTAATGAGCTACTTTTGAACTTGACTGATGCTTCAGATATTGAGAGGACCATTTCATTTAGTTTATGGTACTGCAAGCATATATCTTTAAATTCTACTCTGTTTTATCTATGTATAGCACATTAGTTCTTTGGATTTATACAGACCCTTTGGACTAAAAATATAGAATTTTTGAAAAACCACCCATGAATATAAAGTCAAAACCAAAAATATAAATAACATTGGGCATTAGGTCGAACATTGTAGAATATCTTAATGGAATTCTTCAGGAGCATTATTAAAATTTAAACATGCAACCTGATCATACAGGATCATTTAAAAATAAAAACACATTCACAGGCCTTAATACCAGATGCCTCCTTCGTATGCCTAATTTCATCTAGGGTGACACCCAAGAATATGTTTTAATAGATATTAATTTTTTTCTGAAATTATTTTGATGTTAATTTTTTTCCCTAAATACATACACTTGATGACAAAGATCAGCACCAAAATACTAAATTAAGAATATGCTTACACGCTGTAAGTAAACTGATGAAAAAGCTTCTTGGTTATTGTAAAAAGGTGATGGATCTAAACTTTTAGAATATGCATAGCCTCAGAGTTATTTCTACTAAATTACTAACTGTATTATAAAATTGTGACCTTTGCAAACATCTCTGGTTTCACAGCATAAAAAGTAATTTAGACTTTTTAACTGACTTTCAACTTCAATAATATGTACAACTTATTAATGAAACACCTTCCATCTGTAAACCACACAGAGCAAATTACCGGAGCCACTGAAGTTCATAGGACACTACTACATTGCACTGCAACATTATCGATGGTTTCTGTGTCCATTGGTTAAAAAATTTGTTCCTCAAATTATGTATGACTTTGTATTTCTTTTTATGTTTCTGATTAAACTAAATCAATATGTAACTAAGATGATATTTAAATGTGTGCGTAGTAATCATAATTGAAACAGAAAATCACTGTTTCTGTGAAGGCTAAAGGGACAGATGAAACACAATTTTTAAAGATAATTTTTTCTGATAAGTTGTGGAGGGAAACCATAAAATGTTGGGAAGATTGGGCCGGGGGTTTACCTCAGTGTTTCCACCACCTGCCTCACAAGCTCAAGGTTCCCAATTCGATCCCCGATACCAAAAAAATTTTAAAAAAAAGTTTAGTAAATTAATAAAAGTTTGGAAATACTTATACTAAACTTTCTTCTAAAGTATTTTTAAATTATTTTCTTCTGTAGAGGAAGTTCTGTTGCATCATAGATATATTTTGTGCCAAAAAAGATTTAATTTGGAATTAAATAAGCAGAACACGAAACTCTACACCACAAGTTAAAACATCGACAGGATACTCAGGCTGCGATTAATGGTCCATTGCTTTCTTTTAAGTCAGGCACCACTTATGTTGTTGGATTAAAGGCTCCTGTGCACATCACAGAATGTACCTTCATCATGGGGAAGACATAGGGCTTCCGATGTCAAACTTTGCAAATCAGAAAAGAAAACAATAAACAGTGCTAAGTGTATTGCTGTCCTGATTTCTCAATTACATAAAATGAAATACCAACTCAGATCACCCTGTAAACTTAATCTGTTTAAATCTAAACATGAGAGAAATGTTTGAATGCTAGAGATTTACTCTGCAGTTAGCAATGTTTCATTGCCAGAGACCTCAGAGGTAATTAAGTACCTAAGACAGAGAAAACAAAGCCATGTGTATTTGAACATAAGAAACATAGTGTCTGGAATATTTTAAATATTAGCTCACTTTTACACTGAATCCTCAAGTAGCAGGATCTGGTGAGCCATAAATTAGTAAAAAATATGTTTATTATATAGAGCCTAATAAAATAAAAATATTATAAAGGTTTAGTTGGATTAATATCCTAGAATAAATATGGAATACTTAGACATCCCTTCATTGTTATACTTTTTTCTAATCAGCTTATGCAAATATAATTTCATGAGTATGTCATCAGTATTTTACTTGAGACCCGAAGCATTCAACCTACATTTCAGGATAAAAACCTAACATTTCACGGGTGAAACTATACATTTTCATAAACCTCTACTGAATAAAATAATTATATGTTTAATTATATCTCACTTCTAAGAGGAAGTCTTCACTGTGTAAGCTCTCAGCACTTTAAAACTTTCATGAGTGTGAGACATAAAAATGTAAAAACCTAATTAAATGCCTAATCAATTGCTTAGTCCAAAGTAGGTGTTTAAAACCGTAGTATTCTTTTCTCCTCACTTTCCACCACTAGCTTCTGAAAACTGAAACCATTTGAATAGCAATCTCTCTGTTTATTTCTGGTGTCCATGAAAACAGTTTGAGATGTGTGTTTGAATGACACCTTGTGATTCCCAATGAGATATTATTCCTGTAGCTTTTTGATGACTTCCTAGAGAGAACCTGTCACCCAGCAGGAGTTTGATGACTAACTCCTTGATTTTTAAATCAAGACAGGATTTCCAAAATGGTTTCAGCATTTAAGTAATCGAGTCATTAACATTTTGTACAAGATTAATTGCTTCATGGTGATTTTGTTCTTTGGCTTCTGTCTGTGCTAAATTCCCAACAAAATGTTATTGGAGCTGGTATTCTGAGCTGTTTATTTCAGGATTGGAGATTTATGCCCGAATTTTTTTAACATATGTGGTTATCTCTCTCCACTCCAGCCTTTCACCAATAATTATTTAGATTTATTGAACATATTGTTTTCATTTAAATACAATTATATTTAAAATGCACACTTTCAAAACTCCTGATATAGATTATATGGATGCAAAGTAAGATTATTAAACCCCTGCTTAATTAATTATCCAGATATTTTCAGAAAACTTGAAAATATCTTCCATTAGAGCAGCATTAGGAAATCATGGCAAAAATTCATCACAATTCTATTCTCTTATGCTAAAAATATCATTTATAAAGAGGAAAAGGTAGTTTTGTATAACTCCATTTAATATTACAAAGAAGTTGTATCGGAGGGTTAGTTTTATACATTCTCACTCAGCTTTGATGAATGTTATCTGACCCCTGATAGGGAGATCACTTGAGTTATTGATGAAATTTGAAAGATTGTGAGACCGACTCAATAGCAATGAAATCACTGGAGTGATGCCTTTTGGAACACAGCAATTTTCTTTTCCCCTCTGACTTTAGCTTCGAAAGTGATCTACAGATTTCATATTTTTGTGATTTCTTTATATCCCCATAAACTAGGAAGAGACAGGCTTAGAGTAGGCTTACTTGGTCGGATGTAGAAATGCCATTTAGAGCAATGCCTTGCTCTTTCTTCAAGATAAGAATCTTATCTCATCTGAGAAATACGTACACTTTGTGAGTCAGGGCAGATGGGAGAGATGCTGTTGTTACCCCTTGGAGAGCACAGCAGAGTCTGCAGGCAAGGGTTGTGCAACTGGAAGATCTAGAATTAGTGTGCACCAGGCTGGTCACACAGAAGCCAACTTTTCTTTCTTGAACTGCTCTTTTCTTCATGTATAAAATCAAACTGTTACTTCTGAGCTCACGTGATTATTTGTAGGCTAGGGAATATAATAATAATATAGATCATGAATATTTATGGAGTACCTATGTTATTAGAGTTGGGGTCTGCCTAGATGCCACTGAGCACATGTGTTCTGGGACTCTCTAGAAGATTTGTGAAGAGGTCCACAGTGGGACTGAGTCAAAAAATAGTAGCAATTTGATTCTTAGTACATGTGTGTAGCATGTCATGTTCACGTTCCTTGCAGAAAGTTCATATGTGTGTATTTGTCTTAATTATTTTCTTCATCCTCTTTCCCTTCTCTGACTCCCTCTTCCACTTGTCCCTTGATCTCTTTATTTTTAAAAAACAATACTTTTAGGAAGCTCTTTATTGTATAAGAGAAGATGGGCACTAAAGAGAGAATAAGTTTTATGGAGATAATAGTACACCTGAGAGAGTTCCAGTTGGACAGAGCCAGAGATGGCAACTGCATTTCTTTTGCTTTCCTAAAATTTGGAGAGAGGTGGAGGGTGGTAGCTCATGAGATATCTTTCCAATCACCCATAAGACTTTACCTTTACATAGGGAGCATATATGGTGTCCATGGCTGCAAGCTCAGTGGCTCAAGACACGGAAGAAACAAAACTGAGATGCAAATGTGTGTTAATGGGGCCTGCGGAGTCAACATTGGTCATCGTGAGGCCTGAGTCTTCTGGGTGCATTGTGCAAGGCACAGGATCATAACAGGGTAAATGAGGGAAGCCTGGAATGGACTTGGTGGCCAGTCTTTTGAATCTTGGAAACAGCAAGCTCAAGAAACTTGGACAAATGTCTGTGTGCAGGTGCAGAATTTCCTCCCTCAGCTCAGCTACTCTTTCCCCAGGTCTAGGTCAGATCTAGCCAGCTATAGGCTCAACACTTAAGAGTTTGCCAGACGCCATGGTAAGCACAGTCATCCAAATCCTGCCATGAAGGAACCAATACCAACTTCACACCGAGGAAACTGAAACAGAGTGGAAATAAGTTCCCCAAGGTCACAGCTGGTCACTCAGACTTCAGAGCCTGTGTTACTCACAAGATTACAGAATAGCAGAGCCAAAATATGTGTTCAATAAGTAATATGTTTGCTTTTCTCCATTTTATCAGTTCACACAGCAGTTTAGCAATGAGATATTTCACTGCAAGTTAAAAATGCACAATCCACCGAGGCTTGCTGAATTTGAGGCTGTTTATTTATGGCTGTGCACTAAATACTTCTTAGTATGTCCCTTCAGATTAACTTTTACCTCATGTTCTGAATACACTACCAATCCTACGTGCCAGCTGTTGGTATTTTTTTCTTGACAGATTTAAATGTTTAAGTGTACATTAGACCTGTGTTTATTTTGGTAATATGGATTTATCTTGGCTTCAATGGCAAAACCTATTATTAGTTTCCCATTTTTCTGGCAATTCCTCCTGTACCTCTACTCTCGTCCTCTGCCCCAGCCTTGTAGGTATTGGAATGATCCTTCTGACTTGTCTAGTCCATCCTACTCCCTTCTATACATCTGCAAATATTTATTCTCATCAAAGTCTATCACTATCAGAAGGAGAAACGTCATCAAGCTGGATGCAGAGTAGATCCAGCAACAACCTAGATGTGTCATTTCTCTCCTTCCTAATGGGAATTAGTTCATGATGACGTTAATTTGCACCAGTGCCCAGCCTCTTCCCCTCTCCTTCCTGATCAGCTTCTGCTCACCTATGCTTGGTTTGTGATGACAGTTCACTGCTGATTAATCTTGAGGTCAACTTGACCGGGTGAGACGGTTGGACTGTAAGACTGACACACTGTAAGAGTTCACGGCTGAGTAGGCCACTAGAGGGTGGTCTCAGTTGGAGGCGCTATGAGGGTGCATGACCCAGAGGACTACATCCGGAGCATGGACCGGTCCTGTGGAGCTCTCTCCCTGTGCTCTGCTTCTCAGCATCCATGAAGGGAACATCTTTGCATCCCCAAACCTCCCACTGAACTTCCTGGCCACCATGGACTGAAACTTCTGAAACCGTGAGTGGACATAAACCTCCCTTTTAAAGTGAGGATGTCAAATATTTTAGCGCAGCAACAGGAAAACTAAAAGCTGCATTCACTAGAGAGGGAATCTCTAATCTCAGCTCCCACTACTGCAGATCGATTATTTTCTTATTGCCTCCTTAGATACCATTGTAGTGATGCATACTCACTGAAGCAGGGATGGGCAGCATAAACCAGAATGGTCTCAGAAGACTTTGTCGCCATATTGTAGCCGTCTTAGTTTGCATAAGTAATTTCTCAGAATTTTTCTTGCAGGTAAGCAGTGCACACCAGCATTGTGCTCTCACCTCTGTCTCAGTGTCTCCCATCGCTTGTACCCTGTGTTCTCCTGGATCATTTGCAGGAACATCGGCTTACCTTCTCTACCAAAGCGGGCTCTCCTCGGTACCTCATAAGGGCATTCGCTGCTCTCTACCCAGAGGGTCCTTTGCAATCGGTGCCTGACTGGCTTCCTCACGCAGCAAGACAGGGTTAAAACACGAATTCTGAAGACCCCCCCCGACCACGTGACCTACCATGAGCTCTTCCACTCATCCGCGATACGCCCTTCTTTATTACTTACAGCACTTGTCATTTCCAAGGTGTTTTACTGGTTTTTGGAGCTGCTTCCCTAGTAGACATTAATTCAATAAAGGATAATATGAAAACGGAAACAATCATTCACCTTCAGGATCTTCTCATACAGCATTAAATCCATGAGAAGGAATTGTATTCTTTATTCTTAGGGCCAGGGATTTAGCTCACTGGTTTAACCGCCCGCCTTGCAAGTGTAAGGACCCGAGTTAGACCCCTGGTACCAAAAAAAAAAAAAAAAAAAAAAAAAAAAAAAAAAAAAAAAAA